TATATATATATATATATATATATATATATATATATATATATATATAATTAGAAAATTGTAACATAAATATGTTATAAAATGACTACAAAAATAGCCATTTTGTTTCAACACTTCTGGTGTCTTAAAGCCAAAATCTAAGTTAGAATAAACTTTAATCTAATTGTAATGTAAAACATCGTCACAACTTAGATACATTTGAAGTGATCATATAGGCAGGGGAGCATGAAATATTGCAACAGACAATGCAAACATAATCAGATTATAATACACAAACTGGTAGACATTTAGATATATAAACACACAAAAACACGTAAGAAACAGGAAATAGATGTCCACGACCCCCCTAAGAATAAAATAAAATCTGACATCATATACATAGAGTGAAAGGCATATATAAGCAATCATACACACATCTATTAACACATAGACATATACACACTCACAAAGATTCAAGTTTGAAAGTGTTAGTAAACGGATGCAGACTATTAAAATATTACATACATGGGCAAAAATAGATATAAAAAAGGGTTCCATAGATAAAATGTAGAAGGGGTAGAATAAAAAAACAAATATTCGGCAATGAACAACGCAAACAAAAAAGGCAAATATATAGAAATGAAGAGAAAAAATATATATATATATACGCATATACAGGCATAAAAAATTCAAATGTCCAGGCAAAAAGCAACACTTAAAACAAAATAAAACCAGGGATAATATACTTATTAATAATAAATACATATATTTTTTTTCAAAAAGACGTACTTTCTTTGTTGGCTGCCGTGTCAGGTGATGCAAAAATTGTGTATTTGGACTGCAATTCCTCTTTTATTGTGCTTGTACTAGTGATAGTACAGAATTTTACAAAGAGAGATACTTTCCTTTTTTTTATATATATATATATATGTGTGTGTGTGTGTGTAAATAAATATATATATATTTATATATATATGTATGTATATATATGTATGTATATATTTATGAGGCCGGTTTGATCAAATTAATTATCTATTTTAAAAAATATAAGACAGCTAACCTTATCTTTAAAAATAACAACACACCAGCTAAGTCAAAATTACAAAGAACGAACATTATCTATGAGTTCAAATGCCCCTTAAGGAACCCTGATGAAACCGGATTCATAAATAATTACATCGGTTACACAACTACACGCTTATCCAGACGCCTTACGTGACAACTATCTGATCACAGCTCCTATTAGAACTCATTTAAACACACACACAAATTTACCAGACTCCATCAGAAACATACTAGTAGAAAACACAAATACATTTACTACATCCACCTGCAAAAAAGATTAAAAATAATGGAAGCCTTAATAATAAAAAAGAAAAAGCCAACTCTTAACAATATTAACTATGAACAAAGCCATAATGTGCTAAACGTATTCGGAAATTAAAAACATCCCTACCACACACTGATACATACACATAACGCATACACTCAATTAAGCTGAAAAATCGAATCGTCATTGATAATGGTTAAAGGTATAGCCGAAAGCGCTCGGAAATATAAAACATTTGGACAGTTCTTACACACCATTTTTCCAGAAAAGAAAGCTCTTGTTCGAACACAAGAAAAATTAAATAAAAAGCTTAACCGTAGTACCTTGTCTGTCGTTTTTAATGAAACATGCATAAACAAAGGATTGCTGCCTAAATATACAACTATATATATATATATATATATATATATATATATATATATATTTACATACATACATATATAAATATATATTTGTGTGTGTGTTTGTGTGTGTGTGTGTTGCAAATACAAAAACGAATACGTTGGACGAAATTCAATTTACTGTGGATTTCCAACTCTACTTCATATTTATAGTTTTAATAATTAAAAAAAAAAAACGAAATGTGTTAATGGCCTCCATATGATAATGATAGTAATTATGGGATATCTGTAGAGCCAACATAAATTCATGATTTTTAAAAATTTATGCACTAATTGGCAAGTCTCGATGTTCACTTATCATTTTTTCTTAAATATAACAAACAGGATAAATAAAAAATCAAAGTATTTAAATACTTGATATTAAAAATATGTTTTCAGAGACATGTAAGAAACTTTGAAACTGATAAAGTGGAGGAAAGCATGGCAAAAAACATAGAGAAAAATTGAATGAAATTATAAGAGAAAGGCAGACTATGAAAGAGAAAATAAACGCTGAATATAAAAAGAGAAACGGAGAAACTAAGAGAGCAAAAATCGGACTGGGTATATTAATTTGTAAAGTACATACATATATACATAATGGACAGCTACTCTCGATTTTGTGATATTCTATATAGACGTGATGATCAAGGGGTTTTCACCTCAATGTTCATTATATATATATATATATATATATATATATATATATATAGTAATAAGATATATATATTACATACTAAAGTAAGAATTGATATTTATATTTATAACACACGCACACACACAGACACACACACACACATATATGTATGCATATTGAAAACAGAAAGATGAACACGTCGAACGAAAATCAGTTTTCTGGGGATTTCTTTTTATGGTGTTAATAGTTTTAAAACAAAATAAAATAATATGACGCGCCTAGTTGAAACATTAATATTCACAGCTGTTGCATGACTTCAGTAAAAACACGGAGTCCTGGCTATTTTGCCATGTTGTTAGGAGCACCTTCCTCGTATGATGATGATGATAATAATGATGATGATGATGATGATGATGATGATCACCATCATCATCATCATCATTGTTATAGACACTACAAAGTGACGGTGAAGATGGCGTTGACATATGACTATAAAAGTAATTAATTCATCAAAGAAAGAATACAACATTCATTTTTATTTAAAAAAGTATTTTCTGCTGACTTCAGTAATGAGTCTCCACAGAGTCTTTCCGTAAACCTATAATAATAATAATAATAATAATAATAATATATATATATATATATATATATATATATATATATGGGTAAAAAATTGAAATTGTTAGAAAGATTTTGTACAAAATCTTGTATAGACTAAAATAAGAATTGAGAAAGAAGTACAAAAAACAAACACGAAACTAGAAACCGACATATATTTTAAACCTACTGACTCTCGACAATATCTCCTTTTTACATCTTTCTACACGAAAAACACACGTACCTCATTCCACTGAACTTAGACAAGCAGATATGCACAATAGTCACAAATGCACGCACACAAAAAAAAGCAAAACAAATTAACATCTACAGACTGCGATAAACAAAAGGAAAAAAGGTCAAAAAATAAGATAAGAAAATGAACAAATTATATTTCTAGGAAAAACCACCGGAAATACAATTGTAAGTAACTAAGTTTTAATTTTAATATTTCTTCGTAAAAATATGTATATATATATTAAAATAAATATAATATTGGGTGTTCTTTTTTCGCAATTCTTATTTTAGTCACTCTCTCTCTCTCTCTCTCTCTCTCTCTATATATATATATATATATATATATATATATATGCATGTGTGTGTGTGTGTGTGTGTGGGTGACCTGCATACAAATCCACATATTGTGCAACAGCAAGGATCTCGGGACATACCAATAAGAATATTTGCTGATGCTTTTCGCCGTAGTCTTTCGTCTCTTAGTCGGTCAATACAACAGTTTATATATATATATATATATATATATATATATATATATATATATATATATATATATATATATATATTACGAGGTGGTGCAATGGTTAAAACGATTACGACTGCGCGAGCGTGTGTGTGTGTAAGTAGTGCATGTGTGTGTGTCTATATTGTACGTGTGCACTCAGAAATGAACAGATAAGTAGTTGATTATGTACTCAGTAATGGATATTTGTCCTATATAATGTACAATTTCTACTATGCTCCATTTTCTTGTAGCAAGTATTACTCAAATGCTTTCTACTGGATTTTGCTGGACCCTGAGATTGAATCGCCTCATAGCACACACACACACACACACACACATATATATATATATATATTATAAATTAATTGATTTAAAATATGTTTTTCCGCTACAAAGTTCTAACCATGTTTCAAAAATGGAAGCTAGAAACTCAGAATTTAATTTTGTAATTAAATTGAAGATATTAGTTCCATTTCATCCTCAAGCGAATTTTGGATGAAATGGAACTAATGTCTTTAATTTAATTACAAAATTAAATTCTGAGCTTTTAGCTTCCATTTTTGAAACATGGTTAGAACTGTCTAGCGGAAAAAAAAACATATTTTAAATCAATTAATTTATAATATTAATGCTCTGTAAATTTACATTGAGCACTATTTTGTAAAATAAAAATATCTGTAAGAACACCGGATTATATATCTTACTGTTCTTTCTTTTATTTACACACACACACACACACACACACACACACACACACACACACATATATATATATATATATATATATATATATATATATATATATATATATATATATATATAATACAAAGACATGCGCACACACAATATATATATATACACATACACACACACACATATAGATAGATAGATAGATAGATAGACACATACACTATCTTTCTCTCTCTCTCTCCCTCCCTCTCTCTCTCTCACACACACACACGCAGACAAACAAACCCAATGAATAAGAACCTTTGCATCAAATCACATACCAATTCCAATTCATTGTCAACGGGCTATACATCGGACACTGCATTCTAGGGTGTTTCATAATTGTCAACAACAAAGACACAATTAACATTACTTCATACTTGAATCTGGAACATCATTATATTTTTAGTTCACATTTGCTTGTTCGGGAAGTATTCTGCCTTAATTTTAAAATATACAATAATAAAACACATAAAATTTTCTTTTTTGCACGTAATGTTTTCATTGTAAGTAACATTTTTTTTAACTTTAGTTTTATTTGTTATTAAAGAAAAATCAATGTTGTTAAAAAGGTATCATATGTGTATGTAAAAACAAATTATTACTTACCTATGCGCTATTTCTGGGACGATAAACACTAAACTACCGATCTGTAGGCCATCAAACACTGGTACCGCATACAATAATGTCAGTATAAACTTTTGGTATGATCCACAACCACCAACACCTTCAATAATTTCATCATATTTCATTTTGTAGAGATGCTCAATAACTGTTTGCTTTGGATTAATAAAATTACTTATGTAAGCAATATATTTTTAAAATTATGTTTCTTAAGTTTCTTCGAATTATTAGTGGCAAACATATATTGTCGATAAACGCATTTCAGTAGGAAGTAAGGAGACAACAGAAGAAATATTGGTCACGTGATCATTGCAATGCCACATTGAAGGTCACTGCAGTGACGTAACATAACATCATCAGGAAAAGGAGAGACGGTTATGCCAGCAGTTCAAATTCCCACTGAAAGTCAATGTGTTAACTGCAATATTTTGTTGAAATACAGAAATCCACTTTTCCTTTATTTATCTTATAGCAATATTGAGGAATCGCGTTTGGCAGATCAATTCGCAAATGTCTTTAGTTCCAATTTTAGTGATCCTTATGTCAAATCAAACTGTGAATACGTAATCTTGACTAAGCTTAGGATGACACAAGTTTAAATGTAGGTGAAGAAGATTGTGTTGCGCCAATTTTATATATAAATATCCAGTAATTGGCCAGAATTATAGATCAGATACTGCAGATATGAATCCTTTAGGATATTTACTAGGCCCAAAACAAAATGCAACTTATTAAAAATAGTTTATGAGATCAGTAATTCCATACCCAAGGTCAAAGACTCTCGCTAAGATAGATAGATAGATAGATAGATAGATAGATAGAAATATTGTGTGTGCGCGCGTGCACACACACACACACACACATATACACACACAAACACTTACACACGCACGCACGCATGCGCGCGCATACACACACTCACACACAAACACACACTCACACACACATATATATATATATATATCGACACTCTGCTGATTCAGTTTCGCAAATAATGCGAATACCAGACCATGTATTACTTCACTTTATCTAGATTTTATACATAGATCATAAGGAACATAACCAAGCGAGAAAACTTTTTTCTGAATTTTTTTATGTCTTTACAATAAATTCTAGAAAGTCCAACGTCAGGTTATTTGATATTTACTATTATGAATAAAATTCCATTTTACATTTTACAGACTACAAACTCAGTTCCATAAAAGAGATTACTAAGAATTAAAAAAAAAAAATAAGGATAGATAATGCACATATGATATATTGCTCATATAAATATACATGCTTATAATTTTATATATGTATTTTATTTATGTATTTTGCTTAATACCAATTTTGTTTTAAAAACATTGACTTGCATATTAAAAAATGACATTGTGTAATAAGCTCTTAGACTTTGTGATATTCCATATAAACGTGATGAGCGAAGTTTAATCGTTCTTAATCATTTAGTTTTATAATTATGAACATTTTATTGATGTGCATATATATAATGATGAGCCAAAACATTATGAACAGTGACATATGGCAATAATAGTACTAACCTTCTGGTAACAGTTGATACACTCGAGTAGTACGGTCTCGACTTCTTCTTTTTACTGTTTTGAATGCTGCAACATTATCCACAAACAAAGCATTAGCCAATCAAATCTTATATATAGCAGAAATGAGCCAATATTTCTCTGATAAGAAAAAGAGAACAAAAGGACTACAAACTACAAATATTTTCAATCAAATTGAAACAAGGAATGTGTCAAAACACCCAGTATATCAATTGATATTGCATACAAACTAAATAGGTGCTGACCAGCCAGAGTACCCATGTTAAACAGGCAAAAACTTCACAGTTAACGCATGCGTTAGAATTGAATCTTGTACCAACAGGAGAGTGTATGCTGTTATACTGGGGGAGGCGATGTGCACTGCAGGAAAATATAAATTTTGGGGATGCTGTGGTGTGGTTTGGGCAATGTTTTGCTTAGAATCATCGAACCCTATCTTGACAGTACTGCAGACACAGTACTCCCCTTTGTTTTTGATGATGACAGAAACATCTTACAAATGAACAAGACATTATATATATATATATATATATATATATATATATATATATATATATATATATATATACATGTGTGTGTGTGTTTCAGCTTACATCCTCAGCATTCAGTATCAAAGTTCTATATATATAATGGGGTGCGATGGATAAATTGTCGTCCAAATTACGCAAGAATGAAAATGGCACTCATCTCATTTTAATAGATATATTTACCAAAATTGCACAAAAATATCTTGAAATACTAAAATTTATTTAATAAAATCCCGATTCGCTTCGACCATAGCCACCAGGCGACTTCGGAATCTTCAGCAACTCTTCTGAACGGTCTCCTTGTATAAGTTGGTGAATGCTGCCATAATCCTTGCCTTCAGTTCATCTTTGATGTTACAAGGAATTTTGTGGGTCTCTCGTTCAACCGCGCTCCATATATGATAATGAAGAGTGTTACAGTCTGGGGAGTTATTTAAAGGATGTTGTTGTGACAGAAATTGTCTGACAGCTATGACTAGGGTCTCTTGCTTTTGTGGCATGGTGCAGAGTCCTGTTACCTGACTTAAAGTCTTCAAGCAGTCACACTTTTTACTCAGGGTATCACTACCTCCTCAAAGAACTTGTTGTAGGCCTCCGGGTCGAGTCCCTCACTAACAAATTCGGGAATTCTTATCAGAACGATCAGAGTGAGATTTTCGAACTTCTGTACCTTCGTAATCGCTGTTAGACTCATCCAACTCTTTCCAAATCCTCTACATTGTCTTCAGATTGACATTCAAACACTCTGAAATGTTTGTATTGCAGCTTCTACCCCGAATGCCAAGCAGTACAGCATGCCATGAATTGCGTCATGGTGCTTTTTTTTTTCTTACAGGCAGTGTCATTTCAAACCATCGCACACTGTACATCTATCTATCTATCTATCTATCTATCTATCTATCTATCTATCTATCTATCTATGACTAGCAGTAGAGCCCGGCGTTGCCCGGGGATGTAACAGTAAGAGATAGATCAAGTATGGACGATCATAAAGACTGAAAAATAAAATTGACAAAGATTATTGTTTAAGGTTGACGGACACGCATGTCTTAATTATTATTTTTTTTTTTTACGAATTGGTTAAACCCAAATTCAAACAAAAACTTTGTTTACAATCGTTATGAGTTATGGAAATAATACAGTAATTACATCTACGTTTTACGCGCGCGCGAGTTTTCCTCCCTTCCTTCCACACTTGCGTGTGTGCGCGCACGTCCACTGATTACACCCCTTCCTTTCTCGTTAAGCTAAAAAAACAACTGTTTATATATTATAACGTTTATATATTGGATTGAATTTCCTACATTTTTTAGCCGATTTCAACAAAACTTCACAGGACTACATAAAATTACCTTGTGGTGGTTCTAACGGCGCCGAAAATGGGAAAAACAATTGTTTTTTAACAAAATCAATTTGAAAACACGATTAAGACACATCGTGAGAATGAAAGGGGGGCAACTCACCAACGAAAATGTAAACAAAAGAGCACAGCATGATGACAAAAAAGCCGAACTTGTCGAAAACAAAATTTTATCGTCTAATGTTCATATTATTATTAAAGAGGAAAGATCAAAGTATTTTGGGGGTATTTTTTTTACATTTTTTAATCGTTCCTAGCACGTCTGAAATTTTCGTTAAAAATATTGTTTTTTTTTGGTCAAAAGAAGGACAGATAATCAATCATTTTCAATCATTTTTTTCGATTTGATAAAAAAGATTAAAATCTGACTCTGATATTCTTTTAAAAATCAATTATCATTTTTTCCAAACTGATTTTAATAAAAACAGAAATTATACTGTTTATTTAAAATATTTTGAACCAAGCTTATTTGAAAATAAAACAAAGCAGGTCATAACCTTTCGCGTCGCTTGACGATTGACGAAAGGCACATTCATGACGTTTAGATAACTTACAGGAGGATAATTCTTTTTACGGATGGAAGGAAGTGAAATTATTTAAGTGAACAAATTATTTACCTCGTTACTTTTAAGGAAAACTTTCAGCGCTCTAATTTTTTATTTTTTTTTTGTACTTAGCTTTCATTTTTACGTTTACGATGCTTTATGGAAAATATAAAGAAATTAAAAAATAAGACTGTTAATAGTGAGATTAAATTTCATAAGAAAAAGGTATCTAATTAATTTAGGTACCTTTCTTATGAAATTTTATCAGAAGTGTACATAAAATACTATAATTTTATGTACATTTATTACATTTTACTGTGTTATTTGTATTTCCATTCATTTCATTATTAGTTTTGATATTTCATTTATGGAAAAATGTCATAACTGAGATTAATATAAAAATAAGATCATATAAATTAAAGTTTAGCAGTAGTTAAATTTCATAAGATGATACTGTTACTTGTAGGTACCCTTCTCAGTTGAAATTGAAAACTCAAATTAACTTCTCCATACGTGTTTCGCAAAAGTAAAGGGCTTAACAGCGGAGAACAATGCTGAACTCAAATAATGCAACTAAATTGTATTCTGGTTGGTCTTCCGTACTAGATAATTACTGTCCGACTATAAACACAAATATTACATTTCTTAATTACCATGGCTAATCTGATTGGTCCAAATTATACAATTTTCAAAGCGCTAGACAATGACACACGGAATTTTTGAAAGGTTGATGTTGCTTTTAACTAATGTTAAAATATTTTTAAAAATTCAATTTAAAATTTTTTTAAAAATCTTTTTAAAATTAAAGAAATAAGAAATAATTGTATTAAAAATTCAATCTTCATTGAAAAAATTTTTTGCTTTCAGAAAATATTGTCCATATTCATAAAAACAAATTAAAACAAATAAAAGCATTTGAAACTAAATAATATATTTGTTTTATTGAGTTTTGTATGTTACAATTCACAGCTGATTTTCAGGTAAGTTGGCCAAATAAATAAAAAAAACAAAACATGATTTGCGTTCTTCAAAGCCTTGTGCTTTTAACTATTGTAATCACTAAAACCGATGGTCTCGAATTTCTAGAGTTTTTCATAAAATTAGTTATGGGGGTGATAATAAATATAAAAAAAAAAT